TGACATCGTTCCACTAGAGGGGGGGAATATTTAGTTGAAGCGGCATTGTATAAGTATGGATGACGCGTACTACTGTGTCGTCCTTCGAAGTCTGTTGTGAGAGAAAGTCAGATGTTAGAAACAGTCTTATGGCGTAGGATCCCTTTAGTTCAGAAGATAGCAAACTCACATTCATCATCGGCATCAGTCCCACTGGATGCCATGCGTTGCCCGGCCCAGGTGTGTGTTCAACTGGAATCGACATTTCAGATCATCGATCTTTGCAGAGAACACACCACGAAGTACAAGGAGGCTCACGAGTACGACGCGTTGAGCCAGGTAGTCCCCCCCCGTTTGTCTACCCCGCCTCCCGAGACCTTGCACCCCCACCCCCGCTGGTTCGGGCCCCGTTGCTGTGAAGTTTTATAAATTTGAAGTGGTGGAAGCCAGGAGCAGTCGATCAAGCGGTCAACAGCGTCATCAACCAAGAGAAGAACAACAACAAGCACTAACACACGAAAGCTTAAGCCAAACCACTATCATCGAACCCACAGAGATGGTAAGCACTTAAAATCCAAACATACTCTAACTCTCGATTATGATTTGGAAAAATAAAGAAAATAGTTGCAGGCCAAGCTGATGTTGATTTCCCTTTGGCATCATTCCAATCAGCTAGTTCGTATCAGATCCCCCAACGGAACTCATCGTTATGAGGTCTCTCCTACAGATGACCTGGAAAAACTCATTGGGAAGGTAAAAAACTAATCCACTTTACCAATACACCGAAATCGTCTAGTCTTTTCAAACCCCAAGGATATAAATAACCAACCCATTCGAAAAAAATAGATAAATCAAACAAAGCCCTGACCAAGCCTTGGTACAATTTCGATCTAGATTATGATCGACTGTCCTGAAGCCGATCCTAGTACTCTGGCCTTGTCCAATCAGCCCCGAGGTGGCGAAAAGCTAGTTAATAATATTTCGGGATCATGTTCTCAGCTAGGCATCAAGTAAGTACAACTTCAGTTTTGAGCCTAGTCACATGGTAGCTGTTCTCCTGCTTCGGTCTCCTTGTTTTGTTCTATTGTAAAAAAAGGGTACCAGAAAATAACACAAATCTTATCGCTGGCGTAGACACGGTGATCTACTTTTCGCCTCTTACAAGTCTACAGGAGAAACAGGGCTCGCAGCTCAAGTTCCAGCTAGTAACGGTGCTGCAGATGGAGATCAACTTCCGGCATCATCAAGTCATGACCAGCACAAATCTAACAACCAAGCGTGGAAGAATGTCAAAGAACTCGAGATTGATCAGCTTTTAGAAAAGGAAGATGGCAAGATCCCTCGGAGCCGTGATGGAAAGTTCTGCAGACACGGAGACAAGAGCATGTGTGACTATTGTATGCCATTAGAGGTGAGCTTTTTCTTTTCTTTTTCAGTTTGGAAATCATCTTCAATACGTCAAATACGATCGGCATCTGCAATCCAATTGATATTTTCCGTTTTTCAAAGCCCTATGATCCATCATTTCACACCGAGCGGGGAATCAAACATCTGTCCTTTCACTCCTTCCTTCGAAAACTGAACGCCGCAACTAACAAGCCAGAGACCGGTGCAAGCTACATCCCTCCGCTCGAGGAGCTCGATTACAAAGTCGTCATTCCATGTCCATCTGCTAGCCATGCCCCATTTCCTGCCGGGATTTGTAGTAAATGCCAACCGAGTGCCATTACGTTGCAGCTGCAGCCATACCGGATGGTAGATCATGTCGAGTTCGCCACTCCAGCTTTGATCGAAAATATGCTGGTGTTTTGGAGAAAAACGGGATGTCAAAGATTCGGTTACATGCTGGGAAGATACGAGCGATACGACCAAGTTCCACTTGGGATAAAGGCCGTGGTCGAAGCCATTCACGAACCACCTCAACAAGGAGAACTGGATGGAATTCAGATCGGTTTACCATGGGATGATGAACGGAGAGTGGAAGAATTGGCTTCATTGTCTGGTTTACATGTCGTCGGAATGATCTATACAGACTTAACGCCGGATCATACCTCGGAGGAAGCCAAATCAGCTGGAAAAGTTATGTACAAGAGACACGCTCAGTCATTCTTCCTCTCTTCATTAGAAACGATCTTTGGAGCACATCAGCAAGCCAATCGACCAAACTCTTCTCGGTTTTCGGCTTCTGGAAAATTCTCGAGCAAATTTGTCACCTGTACCATTACCGGTAATCAGGAAGGTGGGATCGATGTCAGCGCATACCAAGCTAGCGACCAGGCTGTCGCCATGGTCAAAGCTGACATGATTGAAGCAAGTGTGGATCCTGGGACTGTGAGGTTGAAAGATGATGATCAGCAGGAAGGTCAATTATCAACTCGAGCAAGATACATACCCGATGTCTTCTACAGGTACAAGAACAAGTATGGTATTGACATCAAAGAGAATGCCAAACCATGCTTCCCGGTTGATTATCTGCTAGTTTCTGTAAGTGGTGTGAAATGTCTTGCATGCCTGGCCTTGTACAAGACGCTCGCGCTAAAATAACATCTGATACTTTCTCCAGTTAACTCACGGATTCCCAGATGCACCATCTCCACTATTTTGTACACCAACTCCATTTGCGATCGAGAATCGAGCAGGACTACATGACCAATCCATGGAACTGGTCACAAACAAAATCCGACCTGTCCTTCAAAACTTCACCAATTCACTTTCGAGTTCACAAGCTTTCAATAGTGAGAAAGGAAAGGGTCGAGAACAAGATAATGACGACGACGACCATCTATCTAAACTACAGATATACTTCTGTGATTGGCATTTGCTCTCGTTTATTGATTCAATTGGAATCTTTGATCGGGTAAACATTTTGTTCTCCATCATGATCATTTTAACATAATATTTCGTGCTAACTAATTGGACTTCCTTTCTTATGAACTGTTTCAATAGTCGGACATCGTTCATTTGATTAATTTCGCACTTTGTCGTGATTCTGAAAGGCTTCATTCGACGGCTCAAGCATTATTTCAAACCAACTCATGGCAAACGTTGATAGCAATTGTACAGGAATCAGGATCCAGTAAGCGCTTCGCTTCAAGCCTTTTATGCTGGGAAGATAGGGTGCCACGGATTGCTAATTCACATCTTTTCATTCAGATGCAGGACCCACAAATGGTGTCAATCAATCGTCGGCCGGAGAGTCGAGGGGTTCAGACCCGCATGAAGGAACTATCTCGTCGATTGAACATCCTAATGACTTTGATCACGGCGGCCCAGACGTCTCCATTGGATCTGACCAACTCAATTGCCCTCATTGTACTTTTTCGAATCCTGCCGGTACTGTCGATTGTTCTGTTTGCGGCTTACCATTGTCTTAACTCTCCCCCCCCCCCTTTCATCCCAAGTTTTTTCATCACCTTCTTCCCACATCCAAAACACACATTCTTGATCTTGTCTTTTCCTTCCCGTATAAACAAAAATAAAAAATGCCGTAATTATCACTTTAATCACACATTCCCACACAAAAATCAAAAACCAAAAAATCGAATCAGCTTAACCAAGTAGCTCATCAATAAGTTCATCCAATGCTTCCCAAAAAAAGTTCATATCTTATAGATGATTTGGAATGCTTCTATGAAAAGAAAAAAAATCAACAGATATATAGAAATTGTTTGTATGTGATCTGTTCATTTGTTCATGATTTGTCAAGCTTACATATGCTACTTGCGCAATGGAGTTGTAATGCTACAGTGCATGGACGAGGATGTGACAATAATAAGTAGATACAAGGATAGTGGTGAGCTCAAAGCACAGTTCAGGAAGATCAACTGTGGAGGCTTGCTCAAGCTCCTTGCAGCAGGGGCAGTCTAATCTTTCAAGGGGTGGGGAGTAGGGAGAGTTGAGGTGAATGAGCTATATCTGGTCACTGAATTTTAACTGGGAGTGAAGAACATGGGACAAATGTGATAATATTTGGACCAGTATTCATTCTCGATTTTGAACGATGTGAGCATGTAGAAGGTGTTCGAGATGGGACAAAGACTTGAAGAGGTATCTGTACTTCCAGCTATTTTCCAACGCTTATGATTAGGGAAAAGGCAAATGAATTGGTTAAGAAACAGTTAAAGTTATGAGCTCGGTGAAGGTGAGGGAAGCTGGCGAAATAATATGTGATTACAGCCCATTTTTGAAAAATTCATGGCCCGGCTCCGGCTGTGCGCGGGTTGGGTTGGCGCACTGGGGCGCGCAAATGGCCGCAGCCCGTGACGCCGTCAACCAACCGGGTGGAGGAGGGAATCCTCAGCCGGAAAGACTCATCAACTTCGGACAGATTCTTGGAGCTGATACTGATAGGGCAGGAAACCAGGGGGGTAAGCCATTGACCAGTTCTTTTTCTCACCCCCTGTCGACCTCGCGAGCCTTGCTTGGGCGGCGACGGCAGCTGCCGGCAGTCGACTCACCGCTTGCAGGCAGCTTATCCTAGCTTGCCCATTGAGTGAACCCGGCAGCTGGCAGGTTGAACATGGTATGTGAGCAGCCGGTAGGGTCATGTGCCATGCTGATGGGTGGACACCGGTCGAGTGTGATTGTCGTATCTTTTGGGTCGACGTTCTGAGGGAGCTCAAAGAGGTCCGAAGTGCCCTGCCAAGCCTTGCCCTGCCTTGCCCTGTCGGCCAGGATGTCAGAAACACCACGAAACAGGAAGAAGCTCGGCAGGGAAACTCGCCCCGCTCATTCTTATTTTCAAACAAGCCCGTCGAATAATTGCAAGTGCAGCCGATGTGAAAGTTATGTAAGCCTTTTGCTGAACTCCCAGGACTTGCGGGACGATGCACGCCACACACTCATGGCATCGGCAGGTTTATCGAATCCGCTAGGCCACTGGCCGCAGTGTTGCCCAACAATTATAAATAGGCATCCATAGGTGCCGGTGGAGTGATAAAACAATCGCCAGATATAACCTCACACCGAGGGCCTACATTGCTCATTTTCCTTTAATAAGAGGGCTTTTTCAAACTTTCAAAATGGTTAGTCACAAGCAAGTACGCCAGAACCTCTTCATAGCAGCCTTCTTTTCGCTGTCTGCCTGGGCCCAGAGCAGTCCCCCAACGGGCGCGTTGATTGTGAGGCAGGGATCATCAACTGGTAGAGGAGAATTTTCGTAAGTCTTGTCAGGTCACTCCGAAGGGTTGGGGGACTAATCAGAAAGATTTTGCTTGTCCAATCATAGCACCATCTCTGCGGCTGTGGCCGCCTTGGCGAGACTAACTGGACCACAGACCATATTCATCTATCCCGGTATGTATTTTCCCATCCTTTTCCAGCCACGAGCGGTGAAAGTTGTTTGCTAGTGATCACACACATTGAGCTGGATAGGGCTGACCATCGGTGATATATTTGTATTGAATCTGTAAGGCACCTACACCGAGAAAGTTAAAATAACCTATCCTTATGTCAGTGAATATACTATATACGCTCTGCTTAAGGTGAACTAACGGCCCAATTTCGCTTGGAATTTACATTTATACATTTTTGCCGCTACATAGTCTCTAAGTGTGCAGGGGTACTCCGCCAATCCCACCTCTACGGCAAGCAATCAAGTGACCGTGAACGCGGCTGTTAGCGCAGCTCAGGCTGGTAGCAATTCTAACAGTGCAACAATCTGGGCTCACAGTTCGGGGTAATTTTTTGCTTATTCCTTTGGTTTCAATGTGATACTTCGCATTTGCTTATGAATTTTATCGCGCAATTTTCATCCGCTGCCTCGTGGATACGCGTCTTAACTTTTCCAGGATTCGTATCTCAAACCTGTCAGTTTAGTAGTTGTTGGCGTTAACTCAAGTTGCACAGGTCATTTTGCTTATCGCGTCTTCGAAACGATGTCATACATAACCTCTTCATGTTTTTGTACAAATTAGAAACATCATCAACTCTTTCGGAACAGGCAGAGATACTCAGGCGCTCGCCCTAGCTTCCACGGGGAACAGACAAGGTAAGTTGATCAGGCAAAGTATCTTTCTACCCCTGCCTTCAAGAATTGATTGAATCCAAACCATAGCAAACAGTATCACAAACACCAAGCTGATACGGGTACAAACAATATTTCTATCCTTCACATTACCTCCAAAAAACCCCACTCTCTTTCGCAGTTTTCAAATATTGCGCCTTCAGCAGCTTCCAGGATACCGTTGAAATCGAAGGAACCGCTTATTTCTACGGATCTCATATCGAAGGTGCAGTAGGTGGGTGCTCAGCTCTCCTTATAAGCCTAAATTATTTCGACATTTTGGGAAAGCAAGGAAACGTTCTTAATCAAACCAAATCTTACCCTTCTCAATGCACCAACCAATTCCTACCTTTCTCAATGCACCTTCTTCCGCTGGCCTGTTACGCTCTAGACTTCATATTTGGACCCGGCTCAGCTTGGTTTGAATCTGTCGTCTTGGGCGTGAAGGCCTCACCTACCCCTGTGTGAGTGTGATATGTTTTTCCTAGTTTAGTTTCACAATGTTTACAGCAGCTCCGGGAGATCTTTCAAAGAGCCGAAATTGTACGGTGAGGCTGATCATGCAAATGGTTTGGATTCTGAATGAAGTATCACTGCGCAAAGAAACAGTCCAGGCGGTGGAACAGCCTTTGTATTCAACCACGCACAAATCGTCTCGGCCGGCGCTAAACCTGGTTCAGCCTACCTTGGTAGACCATGGTCCCCAGACGCCAGCGTGGTTTACCAATTCTGTTCCTTGAGTAATGTCATCAATCCGCAAGGGTGGAAAATTTGGTCTCCTAGTCAGCCGAACACTGACCGCGTGAATTTCCAAGAATTTCAAAACGTCGGTCCAGGCGCAAGCACAAGTGCTCGTCAAATTGGTACTCAAAGGTCAGCTCAGGTGAACATCGCAAGTATTTTAGGATCTGTGAGTACCCTTTCCATTTTATTCGAACACCTCTTGGTCCAATTCAATACCATCCCTAGACGAGTTTGATCTTTTGCCTTTGACGTTCAATCGCTGACTCAACCTCACGTGCTGCCTTTTCAAAATTTAGGATTACAGTACATGGGCACAATAGGTCCACGCCTGTGAGGGCGAGAATCCACTAATTAATTTCTAGTTCTCCTTGGTTTTCTGCACCACCTTTCCTTTCTCTCTCGTTTATAAACAGCATTGCATTTAGCAGAAAATTCCAGGAAGTGTTTTCCATATGTGTACTGCCAAGATCGAGACAACTCAAGTTCATGTCACCAATGTCCCGTGGTAATGATCTAAATGTCACTCGTTTTTTTGGGAATTCATACTTTACAATCATTCTATCACAAAGTCTCAGCTCGTTTGGATTTGAATTTGGGTGCTCAGTTAGTGTCAAAAGGAAGCTATATCTCCCGGTTGTGTGAAGCTACTGGTGAATCTCCTGGTCAAAGAAATCGCGTCGGTAGACCACCAATCGCACCCCAAGGATTGATGACTCTGCAGTACTCTTACTCCATGCACGCCTGATATCTCCGCATTTAGTCAGGGGTCTCAACAGGCCACACCGACATAGGATTATCATACCGCGGACGAGCTCGAAGCGATTGCTTGTAAGGTTGCTTTCCAGGTTTCAATGAAAAAGCAATCTACTAGAACGTGCGGGTAATTTTTTATCGATGGAAATGATATTTCTTGACACGGCCAGGCAAGCCAATTTTTGATTTATATGTACAGCAAAACCATTAGGCCAAACATCCTACATGCCTTTGTTTTCGGCGTAATGTCAGCTGCGCTCAATGCGATACCATGATGAACTAGCTTATCTAGAAATATCAATTTTTCAACCATAAATATCTATGGTGCTTGCTTTTACGGTAAGCTAAACAGTATATCCCAGAGGCTCCACCGATCTATGCTTCCGACGAGTGTATTTGTCAGGTTCAAGACACGTATAGATAAGAAAAACGTTTCGATTAGTCATCACAAGACTCACAAGGTCTTTTTTGAGTCAGGTCTCCGGGTCGGCGTGAATCCGCATGGGTCAAGCAGGTGAGAACTTCTATACCAAGAATTTGAGGCGTCGTTGTGGCCATATGAGTAGGAAGCGTACAAACCACCGGCCGCAATGCTGTTCTGCTTCACAAGTACACTGCCTCATTCAGAGCTATGCATACCTCGCTCGATTGCTTTGCATATTCAGTTGCTCTCTTGATTGCTTTCTCAGGCTCATGTGAGTGCGACGGCGTTAAAAGAGCTCGGCACATTATTGAGCTGGTAACTGGAGCTGCCAGTTGAAGCCATTGTTCGCGCTGTGCAGTACATGCTTGATCAAGCTTCACTACTTGTTCTATAACAGAACTCTGCCCCAAATATTGCTCTGGAAAGTCTATGTGCATCAATCCTTCAATCTCCCAGGATGATGCTACAAACTGGTCGTGCATGTCATTCCGCGAGAGGATAAAAGGGCCTCTCAAGGCCTGGGGTTGGCCAATGTTTTCCGCATCATCTGGCTGAGAAACAACTCGATTTAGATTGCAAATCATTCTTCAGAACAGCCTCTTTGAAATGTTTATCCACTCGCACATACGAAACAACCTCCTGGCAGTCGCCCTCTTCTCGTTCTTTACCTGGGCCCAAAATAGTGTTCCTCCATCTGGCGCGTTGATTGTGAGGCAGGGAAAGACAGGGAAGGGAGAATACGCGTAAGTGATGTGTAACTGACCAGACAGATATGTAATCTGTGACGGCATGCTAAATTCGGGACATTTTCATCCTTATTGTCATAACGTCACTTAGCACTATTTCAGCCGCTGTCGCTGCTTTGAAGGGGCTCACCGGCCCAAAGACTATCTTCGTCTATCCTGGTCAGTCACAATTTCTGCCAGAGTACTTGCCCCTGCCTTTCAAGACAGAAACAGCGGAAATTGATGAGTTTTGTTTCAGATTTTGAAGGTACTTACTCCGAGCAAGTGAAACTAGACTATGACTCTGTAAGTGAACTCGCCGGTACGAATCGTGCTCTCACAAATATCTCGATGGCCGTTTAGAAACGATGCTGATGTGCATTGCGCTCCTTTATTTGAAACTCGGAACTTGCAAACATTAGCCATTGATTTTGCAAGGCTACACCACCAATCCCACATCCGCGACCAGCAATCAAGTGAATGTCCAGGTGGCTGTCAGTGCAGCGCAGGCCGGTAGCAATTCTAAAAGCGCGACGATTTGGGCTTACAGTGACGAGTTAGTTCTCAAGTTGAATTCACATGAATCCTCAGGGCAATCTATTAAAAGATACATTCTGCTCCGTTGATTTCCTCATATCATGACATTATTCTTGCAACTTCAAGCATCCGTATTTCAAACTTGTGAGTTTGGGGTTTGTTGTCGTTTAGAGTTCATTTGTACCCATGCCACTGACACCATCCTCAAACAACCTTTCAAACTAGCAACGTCATCAACTCATTTGGAACAGGTACTGATACTCAGGCGCTTGCTATAGCATCTACGGGAAAAAGACAAGGTGGGTCGGACATTTCATTCATTATACAACGTGTACCAAGACCATAGAAATGATGACTGATTGAAAGTGAATAATATTTCTTCCATTATGCACGAATCATTGTGAATTGCTCATATCTTATTGATTAGCTTTCAAATATTGCACCTTCAGTAGCTTTCAGGATACTGTTGAAGTTGAAGGTCTTTCTTATTTCTACGGGTGCCGTGTAGAAGGTGCAGTCGGTTAGTGATTTTTTGCTTGTTTTTTCTGACCCCTTTTTCGATGGTGGGATATAAACAAGCCATCCTAATCCAACTATTCACTTGACTTTTTTTGGGTCATATACAATCCAGATTTCATATTTGGTCCTGGGTCTGCTTGGTTTACCAACAGCATTTTGGCTGTCAAGGCTGCGTCGAAACCTGTGTGAGTGTGGTCTACTTCATTAAACCTTGGGCAAAATTTCCCAATTTTTTGCTTTTTTCTGAGAAAGAAAACAACTGAATATACTTACCCCTACAATGGTTACGATACAATCTTTAAATCAAATGAAGTGTTACTGCTCAAAGGAATCGTGCGGGAGGGAAAACGTCCATCGTAATCGACAACTCACAATTCATTTCTGCTGGCGCCAAAGCAGGATCAACTTATCTGGGCAGACCGTGGTCTGAATACGCAAGTGTAGTGGTCCAATCATGTTCCCTAAGTGACATCATCAACCCAGCGGGTTGGAGTGCTTGGAGCCCTCCAAGCGATCCACGTACTTCCCACGTGTCATTTCAAGAATACAAAAACTCGGGACCTGGTGCAAACTCAAAGGCTCGTCAAATTGGTACTCAGCGGTCAAGCAAAGTAGAAATTGCCGAGGTTTTAGGATCTGTAAGTGTTTTTTGCTATATGTTTCTTCTCATCGTTAAATGTTATAGTATTGTTGACCCCCGTGCTTATGTACCTTGTCCTCCCAACTGATTTGGGAAAACTAGGATTACGGTGTCTGGGCCAATTGAGCTGAATGAGGGCTTTTCGCCTTTTTTTAATGTCATCCAGTCAACTTAATGAAGTAACTGCATATAATCCAGTCAACTCATTGAAGTAACTGTATATAATAGGCATGGATATTGTCCTGTAACAGGCACAATTTTCTTTTGGTTTAAGGTCTCTGTCTCTCCCTTCCACTGCAACTATCGTATAAATGGACATTGTTCCCAGTCGTTTTTCCGCTCATTTTCTCACAGAATGTACGTAATGATACTAAATATGTGCAATCGATATACTGCTAAAGGAGGATGTAAGGGCACATTTTTGTCCAGTGAGTCATGATCACCACTCATTTTACATGATCTTCATCAAAAGCTATCAGACTTATCAATGATGGTGTGGTCAAGTGATATTAGTAGTTGGATCAATCCATGGTTACATTCCTTTCAAGTTCTTCCAAAGGTTTTTTTGGCTCAGATTGATGCAAAATGTTATCAACAATGTCGGGCTGATCGAGTTAAACGGTCGCCAAATGAACATCAACCAGGAATCAGACCTGTTTGGAGCTTACTCTAAAGTGCAGTTGTATCAGACAGGGTGGAGGATTGATCTGGGCCCAATTTCTACAACAGCAATGAAGATGGAGTTGAAGAAAACCCTGAGAACCATCCAGCGCAGCTGGTGGTGAACCAGTAGATAACTGGGGATTTAACCATTTAAGACATCCTTTCATAACCGATGTTGTATGTCAAGCTAGGACTTCGAAATTCTTCACACTGGAGACGACATTATGATCAACAACTTTGAGGATGTGGGTCCCACGAAATCAAACAAGGAAGCTGGACCATAGTTACATCTGGATCAGCTGATGAGGACAGATCTGGACCGGTGGGGGAATCTGGAAACAAAAAGCAACCCAGAAATCCATAATGATAGTGTAGTTCCTCAAGACCCAAAGAGGATTAGTCAAATCACCATGGCTCATTGGCAACAAATGGATATCCTGATGTCCTACCGGAATGCCGGTTCAAGGTGTTGACAATCCCCCAAACCGGCTGCCTCCACTCATGAGGTCACAAATTAAATTTCCCTAGGGCAATACGAACAACTTATTCCCTAGGCAGGTCCTTGCAAATTTGATAAGTCCACTACTACAAGGGCAGCCAACAGATATATAAGTGCCCTTCAGTTTAGGTCTTGCTTCCGACAGCATAATTGTTATCTATCACCTTCTGTCTCACTTGAAACTTATTTTTAAGGCTGGCCTTTATTCTTCAACTTCAAACCTTTAGCCGCTTTGCCTTTTTGCCTTGGCTCATCCTCCCAAATCTTGCTTTTGCCAACTTAATTCTAATTAATTATTACTTTGATCCAGGCTCTTCACTTGAACTCATTCATCGATTGATCTTTCCCCTGTTTTGAAGAACTACATCCTTTCTTTGCTTCTACTTTAATACCTCCAACATCAAGCTTGTTTACTCGCAATTCTTTACCTTACTTCTTTGGTGTCCTTTGACTTGTTATCTTCTTTTAATCGCATTTTCACCCGCCTCCTTCATCCTTTTCTTCTTCCCCTCTCGCGATATCTAGGACTTTTAATCATCACTCCCTTCTGTCGATCTCTC